CCTAAATCTGGTTATTGAACAAGAAAGAAGGAGAATTTCAAGCCCTTTTTTCGGTTTCCAAAGGAAGAGGAAGTCGGTGGCTTTGGGGGGGGCTTGTCGGGCTGCACGAAGAAGAAGAGCAGAGCAGAAACGTGTATGGCTGGGAAGAAAAGGAATGAAAATATCAGCTGATACTTATCCTAATTTCCTTTCTTTTTAGTCCCCGAACTTTGAAAATTTTTACCATTAAGTTCATTAATAGTATTTCTTCACAATTAGGTCCCTAATTCACACTTTAATGCCCTGGAAATTTTGGGGTATTACATCCACCCCTCCTAAAAAGGAATTTTGTCCCCGAAACTCAAATCTAAAATCATTTAGACTGGTGAATGGCTTCACGCAATCTAAGACAACTAATGGCCATCATATGACAACCATCATATGGCTATAGCAGTGCAGAATCAATCAATCAATATTTCAAAAAAATCAAAGCAACGGAGGGAATCATGAAGCCACCACTACAAAATTACTATTTGCTAATCAAGGAACAAACTTTTTCACGGTCATGAACCCCAAATTAGACTCTAGATCCTTTCCAAATCAGAGAAAGTCATAACAAAATCAAAGACCATAAATTCCTACACAACAGAATGTCGGAAGGACAGAGCAAGAACCAGAATAAAGCAAAATTATTTTGAATTCCAGAGAAACCCAGATGAGATTTTTACCAAGGCTATAGAAAACAATAGCTTAACTATGCTATAAACCCAAAATAAAGACGAGCTGACAAGGAATGGCATGACACGAATTTTTGACACATTGGTCGAATTGAGACCTAAATCATGGCCTCCAATCCAATGGGTAGCTTGTGAAAGAATAGCTCAAAATTCTTAAAAAGTGCTAGCGTAAGCCAAAGAAAATGCTTTAGAAGAAATCCATGTGGACAGATTTCCCATTCTCACAATAAATTTGGTTAGCTAGATGTTTTCAAAGATATAACTCAAATTAAGAATTTAGAAAGATCAAGCGAAATCAAATCAAGGAATTACGGAGGATCTAAACTTTTCTTGCACAAAATTCGAGTTCCAAATATTGGCCTCTATAACTAAAATTACATTCTAGTAACTTAAATGTATTCCAAGCTCTAGAATGAACATCAAGAAAACTAAAGCCATTTTGAGGTTGGAGACTCCTACTTAAATTTAAGAGCTTCATAGTCTTAATGGTCAAGAAACAGCACATAGCAAAATCTAAGGTAAATCCCTAGATTAGGAGAAACATCATAGCTCTACAGGTTTCATGGCCTGACCCTTTGTAGGTAACTAGATGCACGTAAACCAACAAGGATTTCTAACAAAGAAACAACTGAATAGCTGTCACAAAGCTGATTAATTACTTTAAAAGTCAGGCTGAAAGCAAAACAAATGTCACTCTAGAATGACAATTTATATCAAACTAACCAATCTAAACAAGGACTATATTCTGCGCACCAAATTTTAAACACAAAATAGGTAGCAGCATTAGCATCAACAACAATAATAACAACGAAATCAATCTCAAATACACGGCTAACAATTACAAAGGTACCATAATCCGATTCACTTCACAGGGAATGAGTACTCATCACTGCCCTAACAAGCCAACAACAATCTCAATCTCCACTCTCCCCAATGGCCATTTGGGAAGCAGGAGATAACTTCACGCCTCAACATAAGTAACAACACTCGAGGGTTAGCAGCATGATTATGTGGCGCCCTTGATCCAAATCCAGGCCTGGCACTCATCAAACACAACAACATGGCAAGGAATCTAACGATAAGTACAACTAAAAGATGGAACCCTATTCAAGACGAGTAAGCATCACTCGGATATATAGGATCATGAATGGATGAATGCATGTATATGCATGTATGAATGAATGCCTTTATGCACATGCATGTATGAATGCCCATGTGTGCATGCATGAATGCCCATGTGTGCATGTATGAATGCGTGAAGACGCTCATGTATATCTATGTTTGCATTCATGTATGAATGCCCAAATGAATACTTAGACAAATAGACCTAATGTAAAAGGCCTTATAGGTCCTGCCACAACCCAAGGTTAATCAATAATCAGATCATGCTTAACTAGGCAACTCGAATCCAGAGACAATTTTTTTTTTTTTTCAATCAACAGAATCAGAATTGGATCCATCACAAGTCAGGGGTAAGAATTTCGAAAAAATAACACCATAACAGAATCAGGGCAGATATAACAAGGACATCATGACCTAGCACTTCAAGTACTAAAATTTTATTAACAAAACGAAGCAATAGCTGGGATCAAGATACTTAGAAGATTATTGTCCTTTAATTAGAGAGCAAAGCAGTGTAGTAACTCACCCTACCACGACTAGGACGAACATCCAAAAAGATGTGCAGAATGGGAATACAACCAAGCTCCCACAGCAATTTAGAATCACATGAACAAATCTGGTCTGTACAAAAATTCAAACCAAAACTTTTTTTTTTTTTTTTTGTACCCAAGCCTTCCCTTTCCACTAGAAAACCAACCTCTAAGATGTCACATACCAGAATTTCTGGCCCACTACTTCCTTTCTTATGAAGTTAATTCAATTTCAATTATCTGCATTAGCTTCACCTCTAAAATCTCTTTAGACTAACTTATATTATTATTGAATTGTAATCTCATGGTCAAATGCATCCTACTAACAAAATCCCTATGTGTAAATATATTCAAACCTCATCACAATGGAAAATTGCAACCACGGACTGCTCCAAACTACATCCCCAAAACCAAAACCAAACAACCATGGATCCCAAAAACATGTTTATTCATTTATCCTCCAATTTAAATCTAAGTCCCGGTCCATTTAGCCATATATCCCTTTTTATATTAATCACACAAGCAACTGCCTTAACAAACTTAGAGTGGCCATCACAGAACAAGACTTGTAAAATTATAAGAAATAAAGCCCCCAATACAGTAGCAAGCAACAACAACATTCTGGGTCAAAAGCTGGCAACAAAGAGCATACAAAAGTTCTATAGATGCAAAATATCCAGTGAACAGCTACTTCAGGTATGGGCATCTAGAAGCAAGTCTAGGCAAAATATTTGATAGGCTATTTAGCAGGAAGAATTTTACCCATGTGTGGAAAAACCATCTCCTTTCCTGCAAGAGCATCTAGATATGTACTGAAACTAAGTGGTATCAACCACAGCCTGACATTGGCATGACATAGACACGTATAATATACAGACTCAAATCCCATAAGAATTTTAGTATTACAAAATACTGGAAACAACAGAATATGGGACCGTGCACAGAAAATGACCATAATATGATAATCTACCAGAAGGGGAAGCATTCCAATATCAGGAGAATATACAAACAAGAAAGTGACAATAAGTCCCTACTTTACTAAAATTAATGGTACCAACTTCCCCTGCAATTAAGAACAGTAGAATGTCTATAATCCACTTAAATAAATACACTTATGAAGTGTACAAGAAGTTGCCAACGAAATAAAAATGACAAGGACATATATCCACTGATTTCTTAGAGAACTACCACAAATGAGTCAGCAGATAGCCAAAATCAGCATCCATTCGTAGTGAACATAATCAACAATACAACGAACTAACAGATGAAGCATGCATGAACAAATAAACATAAATACCAGCACAGATAACTTATATATTGAAGAAGGGGTAAACAGCTTGAAACTGAAGCCAAGCTTTCCTCCCACAACCAAAACCAAGCATACTATCACAGGGGACCAAGTTTCAAAATAAGGTCTTAGGAGCATAGCGAGCAAGATTAATTTTTTTTTTTAAAAAAAAAATCCTCACCAAAGGCAGATAACAGGAACTAACTGAATTACCATCTCATCAAATGGATCAGAAAGTTCAGGCCACATAAATCAGAATTGTCCCTTGTATAACCCCGTCACTCGTCTCACCACGGTTTTAAAATCTATTGGCTAGCCAAGTTCTAAACAAATCCTAAGTTTTTTTTTTTTCTTTTTTTTCAATTAAACCTAAGCTCTGATACCACTAAATTTGTCACGCCCCAGAACCCAAATCCGAGGTGTAACAAACGCCGTGCACTCGTGAGAGGGTCCCACAAATGCACAAGGCTCGGAACTTATCCAATTCACATATGACAATCCAATAACTTAAATCAGATATTTCAATAATTCTATGTCCAACATGACTTAAACTTAAAATCTCAAGGTAAAATTTATCTTACAAAAAAAAAATGATTTATTTCTAAAATCTATATCAATCTCGAAATGGCTAGCCTTCTAACTTGTCACTTCCCGTGGTTTCCGTGTCTCGGGTCATACTACCTGAAATGGTGGACAAGGAAAAACTATGAGATAAAATATCTCAATAAGTAAATGTATGGATAACCC